CATGTAAATTTCTTCTTCGAGATCCCCATGCAGAAAGGCCGTCTTCACATCTAACTATTGCAACTCAAAATTTTTCGCCGCTACCATGCTTAACACTAGACGAATAGTGGTTAACTTAACAACAGGTGTAAAAACATCGGTAAAGTCAATACCGTATCTCTGTTGGAATCCCTTCACTACAATTCTGGCCTTGTATCGCTTTGTTCCATCTGATTCCTCCTTGACCCGATAGACCCATCTGCTTTGAAGAGCCTTCTTTCCTTGTGAAAGATCACACAAATCCCATGTGTGGTTCTTCTTCAACGAGTTCATCTCGTCTTCCATCGCAAGCTCCCACTTGCTCTTGTGGGCATCTTTAACTGCCTCTGCATAACAGTCGGGTTCCCCAGAATCAGATAAAAGTAGGTAACAAAGAGAATGGGAGTACCTATCCGGGGCCCTTCTCATCCTCGGTTCTCGGCCCAGTGCCAGAGGCGTGCTGCTCTCAGCAATCGGTTCATCCGATTCTGGTTCTGCCTCTTCTTCTGTACGCTCGATCTCATCTATCTGAGCTCCTACTGAATCTGCTGGTCTCATGATTCTGGTATTTGAAATATCGAGACCAACATACTCCTGCATGGTCTTGTCATCGTCCAGGTATTCCTTCCGGTCCTTGTACATTATGCCTTCATTGAACACCACATTACGACTGCGAATAATTTTCCGATTTTTATCATCCCAAAATCTATACCCAAATTCGTCAGTCCCATATCCAATGAATGTACATTTGACGGACTTAGCATCCAGCTTTGTCCGATCGTCATTCAAAACGTAAGCCAAACAACCAAAGGTACGTAAGAAAGAGAGATCAACTTTCTTACCAATCCAGACCTCTTCTGGAATTTTGTTGTTCAGTGGGACAGAAGGCCCCTGGTTGATCAAGAAAGCGGCCGTGCTGACTGCTTCTGCCCAAAACATCTTGGGCATTCCACTCTTCAATCGCATGCATCTCGCACGCTCATTCAGTGTTCTGTTCATCCTCTCCGCAATGCCATTTTGTTGTGGTGTCCCTGGGACCGTCTTCTGCATCCGGATCCCATGATCAGTGCAGTATTCCTTGATGGCTTCACTGTTGTACTCGCCACCGTTGTCGGATCTGAGATATTTCACTTCCAAACCTGTCTCTTTCTCCACGAGTGCTCTCCATCTCCTGAAAGTATCAAAGGCTTCAAATTTTCTTTTCAGAAAGTACACCCATACCTTTCTTGTGCAGTCATCTACGAACGTCATGTAGTACATCGATCCTCCAAGAGATGTCACCGGTGCTGGCCCCCA